GTTCTATATTGAGGCAAATTATCCATCTTTTTACCTTTGTCCATCTTTTCCATTGTTTTCTTATACTTAGTAAGCTTAGTTGTTTAAAGTTCCTGTGAACCCTAGTATCTGGTTCTGACTCTATTAGCACTTTTTTCTTAGTGTTTAGTGATTTGGATTTGAATTTTAGCCTGGTCCATTATTTTATATTGGATTTGGACATTGTGTTTGAAAAATTTGTTAGGCTCTGGATAATGTTTTCTACCTCTAAAAAGTTAATCTTTCTTCTATTTTTTTTCTTCAATGCTGGGGATCAAACCCAGGACCTTGCCCATGTTAGGCAAGCACTCCACTTCTGAGCTACATTCCCATCCCTAGTTTTCTTCTGGAATGTAGAGGAGTACTGGAAGGTTATTTTGACCTTGTAAAACCTTGGTTTTAAGCTTTGTTTTTAAGCTTTCTTATATTTAAATATTATATTGCCTTAATTCCAAAGTTCTGATCCTTTTGGGCCCTGGATGTCTCTATACCTTGTATAGGCTTGAAGTCCCATCTTCTGTTGGGTGCTGAAATCATTACTTGGTTCCTTAGACTCTATAAACTATGTTTTCTAGTGGATTTTTGGATTTTGTTTTGTGCATACTAAGTTTAGGAACTGATTTTGTTGTCAAAGTAAGCCACTATATTGATCAGAGTTTCTATCTACATTAATGAACTCCTTTTCTGCAGTTTCCTCCTCTTTTGGTGTTTGCCCTCAATCCTAGCCATTTTGGCAGCCCTAAACTTTGACCTTTTTACTCCTCAGCTTAGAAATATTGCTGCCTTTTACTTAGCTGTTATTCTTTTGCTCTTAGTTTTGAAAATTCTCTCAGGATAGAAATCCTAGGGAACACTGTGCTCATGTAGTATCTTTTAAGGGATCATACATTTAAATCCTGTGTGTTTTGGCAACTCTTCAATGCCTTCCAAGAGTTGTTCATGTAAACTTTATATATAAGCCCTATGTTAGAGGTTTCTAGTGCAGCAACTGCTAGAACTGCATGGAGGTCTAAGCTGGATGGATGTGTGGTACATTCCCCCTGCAAGGAAATACTTGCCCGGTGCTTTCTCATTTGTACCTGGACTCCATTTTAGATCTTGTAGCGGAATCACCTAAGAAGAGAAATTCCACATGAGAAAAAGCGTTTAAATCTGGAACACTTATTTGCAGCTGGAAATGGGAAATGGACTATCAGACTAGACTTTTATTCTTCATTTTAGTCCTTTCTCATTGTTATTCTGGTTTTGGACTGGGTTGGAAAGACAACTGTTTTATACAGGCTGCAATTCAATGAATTTGTAAATATTGTACCTACCTAAGGATTTATCACTGAGAAAATTGAGGTAATCTTGGAAAATTCTAAAACAGTCACTTTCCACTCTGGGGATGTTGGTAGTCAGGAGAAATGAAGAACACCATGAAAGTCATATGCCAGACGCACAGAGGGCATTTGTTGCTATGGACTCCATTAATGTTGAAAGGATTGAAAAAGCTGAAAACAGAATTTCAGAAAATAACAGGGATATTAGAAAATCAAGGAACCCCTGTATTTACAGTTGCTAGCAAATAAGACCCAAGGAACTCACTGTCTCTCATAGAAATTGAAAAATGGTTAGCAAGCTCATAAATTCCTTGGCATTTGCAGCCTAATGGTGCAATCATAGGAGAGGGACGAAGAGCAAGACTTGAGAAACTATACAACATGATAATTAAAAGAAGAAAAATGTTGCGGCAACAGAAAAAGAAAAGATGAATAGCAATACCTATAACATTTGTGTAGAGTAGGTTTTCGCTGGTCTGATTTTGGTAAATGAAGAGTGTCTATAGCTTGCTTTGCTTGGATGCTATTATGTTTTGTTGAACAATCAGATGCCCAACTCATTTGCCTTGTGGAAGATGAGTAAATGCAGTGCTTCTTAGAGTTATCTCTTCTCCATACCCCACAAATATATTGGTCTTACCATTTTGGGACACCAAGCAAGGATAGTAAATTGACCAGAAAATAGTTGTGGAAGTTTGACCTGAAGTTAGTAAAATAAAACGTTGACGAGTGTCTGTTTGTGTTTATATCTTTTGGGGGAAGCCTTTGCAAAGAAATTGCATGCAAGGCTTTGTATGTTAAGATAAAATGCTAATGAATGCATACTTAAGGTATACATACACATTATATGTGTGTACACATTTACACAGTTACATTGATCACACTGGGACAGGGAGGAAGTATTTCCTTTTTTAAATTTTGGCCAAGTGATTTTTTTTTTAAAGGGAGGGAGGGAGGGAGGGGGAGAGAGAGAGAGAGAGAGAGAGCGAGCGAGCGAGAGGGAGGGAGGGAGGGAGAGAGAGAATTTTTTAATATTTATTTTTCAGTTTTTGGTGGACACAACATTTTTATTTTATGTTTATGTGGTGCTGAGGATCAAACCCAGCGCCCCGCGCATGCCAGGCGAGCGCGTTACACTTGAGCCACATCCCCAGCCCAAGTGATTTTTTTTTGATCGCATGATAATTAGTTTTTTTTGTAGTTGTAGATGGACAGAATGCCTTTATTTTTTGTATATGGTGCTAAGGATCAAACCCAGTACCTTGTATATGCTAGGCAAGTGCTATGCCTCTGAGCTATAGTCACAACCCTGGCCAAGTGATTTTTGACATTTTCTGGAATCAAATACTGTAATGCTCTCTCTTAATTCTAGACAGTTAATTCAGTCTAACTTTAATAAGGGATTTGAGGTAAAAAATAAACCTTATATAAAGTTTATATATTGTACATATAGTTATTTATTATTAATTATTTTTCATATTTTATTCCACTCCCTTTCTCCATAGTGGGAAGGTTAAATTGATACATGCTATTCCATCTTGACTAGAGTTGGAAATCTCATATTTCATAGCTTTTGGGTTTGCTTTTTGTAGTTTAAGATGGCATATTATTTTCAAATTACAGAGAACCAATCCTTTTAATTTGGATATTAAATAAAATCTATCACTTGTCTGTGGGTAAGGCCAAAGTTTGAGTCTCTGAAATCTAAGGCTGTGGACAAAATTTAGGTATTTTATACATCTAGAGTCATGTAATAGGATTACTCTCAGCTTATGTGCAGATAAACCACATAAATCCAAGAATTTGGCTCTACCACTCAGACCACTGGGCATAAATGCACAGGTACAGACAATACCATTTATACAGGTTAAGTGGAATTGGAGTTGTGCAATATGGTGTCCTTAATGCCAGTTTCTTTTTTGGCCTTTGAACTGGATTCCTTTGGAAAACACCAACAACCACCGCCAAAACTACTTGGGGCTGGGATGTAGTTCAGTGGTAGAGCACTTGCCTGTATGCATGAGGCCCTAACTTCAATCCTAGCACCACAAAAAAAATAAAAATTAAAAAATAATAAAGCTACCAAACTATGTGGGACAACTGATCCAGCACTGCCTTGCTATGCCAAGTGTGAAATTCACCAGGACTTGTGGAAGAACAGCTTCAGTTAAGCAATAAGAGTAGAAGCATTATTGCAGTGCATTAGGAAGTAAAGAATATGAAGTCAGGAAGTATGGACATCAAATGAGTGTACTGTATCTAAGAAAATTGGATGTAAAAGGAAGTGAGAGGCTAGAGACTTTATTTTAGGGATGAGGAAACAACATATGTTTATGGACTGGAGATGGACCTAATGAAGAAGGAAAGGTAGAAGATATAAGGACAAGAAGAGATAATTAAGAATTTCCTTGTCAAGCAATAAGATGAATAGCCCAGATAAGATAGATTGGAAAAAGGATAAGGAGAAAGATACAGATTAAGTTAAGAAGTTTGAAAGAATAATGAGGTATTTGATAATTCATTCTCTGAAGTCAACTGGAATCATTATGGGAAGGACTAAAGATAAAGAAGTTGAATTAGAGACAGGATGAACCAGAGATAAATCTCTGACAACATACAGGCTTGGGGCTGGGGCAGCTGGATGGATGATAGTGCTGGGGTTAAAAAATAGAGGACCAAGCCAGCAGATTTGGGAGGAAAGATGAGTTAGAATGAGTTCCACTTTGTTCACATTGAGTTCATCAACAATAATGGTAATTGTCTTTGAATCTTAAGACCATGGTATACAACTTCAAAGATAAACCTTGTTCCCTTATAGGCCTGGTGCCTGTGTAGACCATTTTAGTGGAAAATAGTTTCAGCTTTACTGGAGACTTAAGGAGTCGCTGTTCTTCAGAGACATATGTAGAATGAAAGAAATGGGCTTTTACAATGAACATTTAGTGGAGGATTTTTTAACCTATGATTTTTTTTTTAAAGATGAAAACACTTGAATTAGTGGACAACAAAATACATATATATATTTTACTATGAATTTTTAATGAAAAATGGCAATCTGTTCAGGAGCACATTTTTGCAGTATCTAAAAGGAAAGTTCAAAGGAAAAGCAGATTTTAGGAGAGAGGGCAAGGAGGAAAGAGGAAGCAAAGAGGATAGCCAACAGACTGGAGCAGTGATTCTAAGGAGCTAATAACAGGTAAAATGAATACAGAGGGTAACTGAGTTAGCGTGAGGACAAAAAGGGGAAATATTGAGAAAAGGATTGAGAACAGGAGAAACGTATTCGAGGTTAGAAACTGAGAAGGTGACATTGGAGTGCACAGAAAGGCAGGAGTGGGGTCTAGAAATGAAAAACAAACAAACAAACAAACAAAAAAAACTACAGGTTGAAGTAGGGAATAAAGAAAGAAAGGGGAGATGATAGGGAATGAAGGGAAAAGGAGGTGTTTGTAGAAGAAGGACCAAGCCATCTATCTGGGCGGAGCAGTAGGCTGAGCAGCCTCAGAGGAGGCTGGGTCTGACCACATTTCCTCCAGCACATTGGCAGCTGAAGTGAAAGCTCATGCATGCTCAGAGGATGCACCTGGGCAGTCCGGGAAGGCTAGAAAAGCCCAGCAAGGACTACTAACTAGCACTGGTGTGGCCAGGGCCGGGAAATCCATGAAGAGGACAGACAACGGGTCCTGCTGTCGCCAATGCGACTGTGGCTGCTGCCGCCGGGCGTCTCGCCGGACTCACCACACGCCTCACTGGTTTGGGGACGCGGTGCGAGTCTCACAGTCCCTGCGGCAGCACCCCAGCCGGGAAAGACGACGCCCGGAGCCGGTCGGGAGCTGGGCAGTGGCTGCAGAGGAGGAAGAAGCAGCCTCTGTGGGCGCCCCTTGGATGAGGTGAGGGCGTGGGCAGCTCCTGCCGCTGGAGCCGGGGAAGCAGAGGACCGCGCCCTGGCGTGCGGTGAGCTGGGCTGGAGAACTGCGGGGCCGGAGGTCCCAACTCCTGGGAGAGGTTGGCGCCCAGTGACAGTCTCTTCAGTGAGGGTGGAGGGCACCGGTGGTAATCAGGGTCCGCGGTGATAGGAGGACAGTGGTGAGTTCCTAGAAAAAAAAAGAAGTGGCGCTGGTTTGTACCCGAGAAAGCTCGGGAAACCCTGCTCTTACCCTAAGGTCTTCGCTTGATTTGATCTGCTGCTCTGATGGTGGTGAGGTTGAAGGCTGTGCTTGTTGGACTGAGGCAAAGGAGAGATGAACACAGGGCTCAAAGCCGTGCTAGGATGGAAACGTTAGGGATAATCACAGAAGATAAAGGATCAGGAAATGTGCTCGAATTGCCTTTTCTTTCCTTACGCCTCTTCTTTTTTGGATATTTATCTTAGATGTAGACAACTGGGTGGTATTGGTGACGGTTCTTTTTTTCCAGGCTAGCTACCTTTTCCCCTGCAGAGCTGGAGCCTGCCTGTTGGCCGATGTGCAGGACAAGCTTCACCTAAACCCAGTCCTTTCCTCTCTTCTGGCCTGGAAGACTGACAGATTAAGCCCAATTTTCTTCATGTAGCAGCAGCAAGATGAAAATCTGTCATGCGTAAGATTTCCTGGAGAAGAGACAGATTGTGAAACAAACACATTCTTGTCATAGATTGTTTATCTTTTTCTTTCATGGGAAGCCTGTACTGTAAATCAAGCCACAAAACAGTAATGTTTTCAGTCTGTAAACTGCTATTAACTAAATGGGATCTTTAAAAAATTACTTCATTTCTTTAGGCCTCAATTTCCTATGCAAAAAATTGAGATTTGGATTAAAAAGAGTATTAACTATAAAACTAAATATTAATTGGATTAGTATTTTATGGTCAGGATTCTGCTGTAGTTGTGAACTAGAGTCCTTAGTTTATTTAAAAAACAAAACAAAACTTGATTGTTTTATTCATCACACTACCCACTGTCTATACAAGAAAATGGAGTCAAAGACATTCAGTTAACAGTGCTTAAAGGAATCGCATTTCTATTAAGGAATTCATAATTAATAACTGCTCTTAAGAGTAAGAAAGCAAGAAATATTCATTATTTGATTTTTTAAAAAATTACATGAAAATTTAACCCAAATATAATTAATTACTTTAAAAAATGTGTCTGTGGGATAGTGAATATTTTTTCATGAACTACTTTGAAATTTTTTAAAAGCTTGGAATAAAAAAATTAATATGTCTATATCTATACCTATATCTATAATTTCAAGGCTTCTTGAGCATTTTACATATTCTAAGTTAATTTTTTATCTGGAAAGAAATATTAATACTGAAAAATTATAAAATAGATCATCTTCTTCTTATAAAGGTATAATTTTTCTCATTATCCTTGGAATCAAAACTTTATGTGTTTAAATTTTGATTCTCTAAATTGTGGTTTTGTTTGTTTTTGTGGTGCTGAGAATCAAACCTGGGGCCACATATGCTAGGCAAGCACTCTACCATAGAGCTACATTCCCAGCCCTGTGGTTTAATTATGAAAATTGGAAGCAAATATTCATTGTTTCTTAAATAGTTACTCATCTGACAAACTACCTCTACATTCATCTTAGTTGATGTAATGATAAATCTTGAAATGTTTAATTTGAGAATTCCTGAAAAATTTTAAACAGTTTTAGAAACTACACAGAAGTGTTGCTACTCTGGCCTTCATTTAAAAATCAATTCTATATTAGCTATAAACTTCTAATGCTATATTAGGTATAGCATTAGAAGTTTAATGAATATTAGAAGCTTGTGCATAGGAAATCATGTTTTGGTATAATTTTCTAAATCTCAAATCACCTAAAAAATTTAAGAAAGCAGCTTTGCATATTATCCAGATTCAATTTACTTGTGTTAATTATTGAGCATTGATGGTGGTAGCTGATACAATACTTAATACAAAATTACCCTCAGGTAGCTCAGAATCTACATTTCTAAACTACACTGATGTATCCATAGTATGGAGTAAGTTCTGTAACAGAAAAATGAATTAAGGAAATAAAAATAAATTTTAAAAGTATCTCTCCTGGGAAAGCTGGCCAATTGTGTCTCAAGAGGCCATAAAAAGTATCATTCTTGGGCTGGGGATGTGGCTCAAGCGGTAGCGCGCTCGCCTGGCATGCGTGCAGCCCGGGTTCGATCCTCAGCACCACATACAAGCAAAGATGTTGTGTCTACCGAAAACTGGAAAATAAATATTTAAAAAAAAAAAAAAAAAAAGTATCATTCTTTTGGAAAACGTCAAAATTGGTGTTAAAACTTCAGTCTGTTTCTTAAACTGATAAACTCACAGAATTACTATATAAACTCAGAATTATTAATTTATAATAAGGTTTTTTTAATGTTAGGAGGCTAGTTTTTTTCTTATTCCAGTTAAGTCTCATCATATATGCCATTTTAGGAAGCCAAATTATAACCAAGAAGTTGTGAGATTTGCATTTACTGCAAGATAAATTAATCAGTGGATTCTAATTTTTAGAAAATTTGATAGCTTCAAATAGTATTAAAGAACTTCCCTGGGAAGTGAGTGTCCATTGATTCTCAGCCTTCCTTCTTATGTACCCAGTTTTTTTTTAATATCTCTGACATGTAAGTATTTAAGTGAGTTTATTGTCTATTTGGTTTGGGAAATTTTATGTCTATTTCAAGTGTCTGAACATTTCTATGAATCAGTTGGTCTTAATTGTAAAATTTAAATTCCAAATGGCAAGTGTCTTAGCCTGTGTTGTGCTGCTATATATTGCATAATATCTGTTACTGGATAATTGATAAAGAACAGAGATGTATTTCCTGTGGTTCTGAAGGCTCAAAAGTCCAAGATCAAGGGGCTGGCATCTGGCGAGGGCCTTCTTACTGCAACATTATACAGCAGAAGATGGATGGGCAAGAGAGCACTTGAGAGAGAAAACAGGCAAGAAGGGCCAAACTTGTTTTTATAACAAACCCACTCTCGTGTTAACTAATTTACTCTCGACATTAATTCATTCGTAACAGGAGAACCCTCATGGCCTATTCACCTCTTATTAGGCCCCACCTTCAACATTCTTGCTCTGGGGATTAAATACATGCACTTTGAAAGATCATTCAAACCATAGCACCAACTTCATTATCTTTAGGTAAAGTTCATGACAGGGTAGGGCAGTGGGATTGGAGGGCTGTATTACAGAACTTGCATGCTGGCAGGATGCAAGTTAATTGCACCTACATAGAGTGCAAAGAGGCAGTAGTGTGTTAGATATTTATTCAGAAACTGGTTGAATTAGAATTGAAAGTAAAAACTAATTCAGATGAAAGGGATAACTAATATTTATCCATAGGAACTTTGGGAGAGGGCAGGGGATTAGCAAGGATGGTGAAATGTGATGGACATCATTATCCAAAGTACATGTATGAAGACACGAATTGGTGTCAATATACTTTATATACAACCAGAGATATGAAATATTGTTCTATATGTGTAGTAAGAATTGTAATGCGTTCCGCTGTCATTTTTTAAAAAATTGATAAAAAGTTAAAATTAAAAAATTAAAATTATCATTTTAAGAGTTTAAAGGCAAATGCTGATTTTTTTCCACAAGAAAAAATGCTTCAAGAAACCTATTCTGAAAGAAAAGAATTTTGAAAGTTTGAAACTAAGCATTCTATTCTCTTAACAAGTTACTGTGATTCATATGATATTTGTAACATCATGCTTTTTAATATTTATTATTTTAGTTGGACACAATACCTTTGTTCCATTCATTTATTTTTATGTGGTGCTGAGGATTGAACCCAGGGCCCTGTGTGTGCTAGGCAAGCACTGTACCAACTGTACCACTGAGCCACAATCCCAGCCCTGTAATAGCATACTTTTTATTTAAGTTTGTTTAGAAACTTACCACAAGAAGACTTATAAAAATTACAGTTTTTAACTATTGGAACTCAATATATAGTTAGTTTTAGTGATGTCTGCATTATTTAAGATCAGTGAAACAAATCATACACAGTCCAGTCAGTGGACTTACATTTAGTAGTTCAAACTATTTTATGTATTATCTATAATTTACATGTAAGTATCCTATTTGACTGAGATGGCAATTATTAGGATAACTGAAATTCTGAGCCAGTATTTTTTTTTTTTAGAGAGAGAGAGAGAGAGAGAGAGAGACTATTTTAATATTTATTTTTTTTAGTTTTCTGCAAACACAACATCTTTGTTTGTATGTGGTGCTGAGGATCGGACCCGGGATACATGCTTGCCAGGCGAGCGTGCTACCGCTTGAGCCACATCCCCAGCCCAAGCCAGTATTTTTTTTAAATCCAAAAGCAAACTAAAATTTACTAGATACAGAAGCTCTCAATAGTTGCCATTCTCCTTTTTTTTTTCCCTAGACTCAGACTGTATTTTAAATTGTGCAACAAAACAAAGCAAAACAAAACAGCTTTGATTTGTGCTATCACATTTTTACCTTTATTATTCTCAGTTTACTATAAATGATACCTAAATTCTAAAGAGCCTAGTTATACTAATATAACCTTAAAGAAAAGTAAAAGAGTGAGAATTTTTATTTATCTTCTATTTTGTTTAAGTATTTAAAGAAGTAAAGTACTCGAAAACAAATTCTGAAGTTTCAAAATGGAAAATGAATTTTAAATACTTATGATCCCATTGTCTATTGGTGATACTGTCACTGGATAAATGAATAAATGAAAATAAACATTCTCATACCTCCAAATTTATATATTTTTAAGTGTACAGCATTAAATGCATCCATGTTATTTTGCTTAGAGTATTTTCATCTTACACACTGAAACTTTGTATCTATTAAAAAATGTTTCCTCTCCCCCTTCCCTCAAGCCCCTGACAATCACTGTTCCATTTTTGTCTTTGAATTTGACTATATA